CTTTGCTATTCATAAGGTTTTCCCTGGCCAATTCTTTGAGAAATGGACAGCCTCTTCTTTCTTCATAGTCTGTCTCAGTCTGTAAGCTGGGCTGATACCTCTGCACCATGTGCATCCCTCTGGGTTTGAAACACCACTGGCTCAGACTCAAAACTCACATCAACACATCACCACGGCAGGACAAACCGACAGACAAGTTTGTCTCCCTGTTGGAAACCTCTCGTACCACCCTTAACTGGGTCCCTGCGGCTGACTGCTCCTCTGTCAGGGTTCCTGGCTTTTAATCCCCTTTCTCCCGCTCTCCTGCCCTGCTGCTTTGGGCATGCCTGAGTTTCCTCTCCTCAACTGGATCCCTGTGGCTGACCACTCCTCTGTCTGGGTTCCTGGCTTTTAATCCCCTTCCTCCTGCTCTCCCATCCTGCTGCTTTGGGCGTGCCTGGGTTCTCTCTCCTCACCTGGACCCCTGCGGGTGACTGCTCCTCTGTCTGGGTTCCTGGCTTTTAATCCCCTTTCTCCGGCTCGCCTGCCCTGCTGCTTTGGGCGTGCCTGAGTTTCCTCTCCTCACCTGCATCCCTGCGGCTGACTTTTACTTTGTAAGTAGCCAGCTGTTAACCAAAAGTTCACAGGTTTGAACCTCCCAGTGGCTCTTTGGGAGAAAACACCTGGACCTGCTCCTGTAGATTTGCATCCTAGGAAACCTTATGGGGCAATTACACTCTGTCCTCTAGGTTGGCTGTGGTAGTTCCATTTGTGTGTCAACTTGGCTGAGCCTGTTTGAGTGGCTAGGCAGCTGGTGGTAGTTATTCCCCATGGTGAGACTGTCAATCAACTCCATGGTGGGATCTACCATAAGTAGATGAGTAGCTGCCTTTGGGAAGTGGTCTGCTTCCTGTATATAAGGAGAAGCCTTGGGAATGGTCCCTAGCTTATGGCACCTTGAACCTTGCATGTAGCCATGTCATTGATCAGTAGCCTGCCATGCACTGCCGACCTTGAGGTTTACAATGGAATTGAATGAATGGCCTACCATGTGATTTGGTAATATCAGGACTGTGCCTTTTTACTTGTCAACCTTGGGCTTGGCAGCCTCAGCAGCCAGCAGCTGTCTGAGTGAAGAAAAAGCGTCTAGCTTCTGTGGGCCAGGAGCAGGAGGTAGAACTGAATACCAAGGTTGAGGGGCTTTCACCCAGCCCCTAGAGCCTGGCACTTTGAACTTGGACTTAAACCCTCCAAACTGTAAGAGAATAAACTCCTGTTGTTAAGGCCATCCCATTTGTGGTATATTCTTGTCAGAGCGGCACTAGGTAACTAGAACAGAATTTGGTACCAAGAGAGTGGTGTGCTGCTGTGACAGATACCTAAAATGTGGAAACAGGAGTGGAGTGCATCCTTGACCTGAGACCCTGGCAGAGAGACTCTGGCAAATGGCATGAGAGATGGCAGCAGCAGAGCCAAGAGACTGGCAGAGAGATACCAGCAGAGAGACCAATATGAGAGAGGGCAGTAGCAGAACCCAGAGACTGGCATTAAACAGCCACAGGCTTACCAGCCCATGGAGGAGAAAGCCGGTGCCATTGGGTAGGTGGCTTCCTGGCGGAATGGGTTACCTTTGGGCATTAATTGGTGAAGAGACCTGCATGAAGTGGAATAGCAGGTTGGTCGGCCCATGAAGCAAGATAGCTGAGTGCTTTTGGGGCAGGGAGATTTCCAGCGGAATGGGTTGCCTTTGGCATTAATCGGCAGAAACGGAGACCAAAGAAATGGAAGCAGAGCTGCCTCAGCCTGAATGGGTAGGACCATGGCCTTTGGGGGTGGAACCATCATAGCCAACTAGGTTTCAAAGAGCCAGGCCTTCACCAACTTGGTTCTGGAGTGTGGGTGGGGCTGCTTGTTCATGTGAGCCAGAGGGATGGAGCCATAGCTGCTGCCCAAGAGGGAGGATGCGGATGGGTGGCAAAGGAGGCTTACCCCAAGGTTCAGGGAAACTGGTGGCCTTCAGACAGAAAGTGCATTTTCTTTCTATGCTGAGGAGAAGGCTCTTTATGAGTGGGAGAAAAAAGACCATTTCTATTTTCCTGCTTCTTAGGCCTCTGGATATATATAAGCAAAAATGGATTTATGCCATCTATCACCTTTGTAACCTGTTTTGCACTTCCTGTCTTTGGATGTAAATACATTCTATGATAGCACTTTAATTTACTTTAAAACAAAATTACAGGGTTTTTTTTTTTTTTTTTCATTGACCTGGTGTTACACCATTCAGATGTCTCAAAATTTATTTTCACCAGTACCTTCACGAAAATGTACTTCTTTAACTATTTTTTCTATTACAAATAGTATGCATAACAACTTTGCTCATATATTGACAAATATTTATATAAGGATTTCTTTGTATGTTCCTAAATGTATTCTTTCCGAACCATAGAACCTATTTAAAAGCAAAAAAAGTCACTGCCATTGAGTCGGATCCGACTCATAGTGACCCCTTCTTGGGTTTCCGAGGCGGTACCACTACAGAAGTAGATAGCCCAACCTTCCTTTTGAGGACTGGCTGGTGGGTTTGAATCGTCAGCCTTCTGGTTAGCAAATGCCTTAGGCACTATGCCACCAGAGCTCTTATAAGGTCTATAACACTATCTAAATACATTATATTCAAAGTACCATTACTAATTTGTATTTCCAACAACACTGGATGAAAGTGTCTGTTTCTCCACACACAGGAAATAATGTGGAGTGTTGCTAATCTGATAGGCAACAAAGCGTCTTTCATCATTGTTTTCAAGACAATGTGATTTTAATGCATCCTGTGATGTGGCGTTATCAGTTTTTCAGCTCATGTTATTTGGTATTTAAAGTGTTTCTGATGTTCCCTATCATTAACCTTGTGTGGGCGGCATCTTTTCTATTTCTGTATGTTGCTACTGGATGCATTTCTGGGCACATATCACATGGCTGTTTTCACTGGTGAGCTGCATGTGTCCTCTTGATCCCAGGAAACTGTCTTGGTAGAATTCTAGTATTATGATAACAGAACCTGGGAAGTCTATGTGTGAGTGTGTGATGTGAGGGTGCTGACAACTCCATTTCCCTCTGCTTCCTTCTGCTCTGTCATGGCTTTGTTTTCCATTTGGTCTCTGTTAAGGCCCAGAAGTCAACATAGGCCTATGACCAAAACATTATGAACATGCTTAACTATATCCAGAAGATGAATTTCTAAAAGGGAACTTGCTGCTCCAAATATTGGGCACCTAGGTAGCTTTTGAATAAGTACTGACATACTGATACCCAGAAGGGTAGTTCCTATTTGTTGTTCTTGTTGTGAGGTGCTGTGGAGTTGCTTCTGACTCATAGCGTCTGCATGTGCAACAGAATGAAATGCTACCCAGTCCTGCACCATGCTCACAATCCTTGCTCTCTTTGAGCCCATTGTGGCAGCCACAGTGTCAATTCATCTTGCTGAGGGTCTTCTTTCTCTTTTCTGCTGACCCTCAACTTTGCCAAGCATGATGTCTTTGTCCAGGAACAGGTCCCTCCTGATAACATGACCAAAGTACAAGAGATGAAGTCCCACCATCCCCTCTTCTCTTTATATTCATGAATATATTTGCAGCACATAAAATACATACATACAAATATCCTCTGTCCAACCTATATGTATTCATGTGTGTAGTCCCATTCAGTTTTCCACACCCACTCAGCTCTTGTGTCTATCCACGTATGCAATAGTAGATTATTACTATCAGTGTTATCACAAGATTACACTTGTAATAGTATTTGCTTTTGTTGCCTTTAACTCTTGTGCTCCTCCCAGTGTCTTCCTTTGCATTGATCCTTTGGTGCTGACTTCTCCCTTATTTTATACAGCCGTCCCCTCACCCAAGTTAATATGCCTATTATATCTGGGCCACTGGGTGGGCGTGCTACTCTGATCATCACTTTGGCAGCATTGGCGGACTCACCACCTGCCTCCAGATGGATTTGGTAGCGGGTGGGAGTGTGGGCATGAGTCTCTGATTGCTGATAGTGTAGAGAAGCTGAGGGAAGTCTGGGAGGGTTTCAGGCACCATCTGTGATCTAGTGGTGCTGGAATGGGTGGGTGCATTTGCCCAGTGGGTGGGGTGCCAGGAGTGGCAAGTATTGCTTGGTATGTTCCCTGACTCACAATTGATGAGGAAGAAAAAAGCATAAGGGTAAGAGGAGGAAAAAAATTAAAAGAAAAATAGGTGTGAAGAGGGAAAAATATGAAGCAAAAAAGAAAATAAATTAAAAAAAAAAAAAAAAAAAGCAGCACAGCCCTGACACAAGTGTTAGCTGCTAAATAGCTGTGGCAGGAGTGAGGCTTCCACTCTGCAGGAGCACACACCACTGCAGAGGCAGCAGGAGCAAGCATTTCTGCCCATGGAGACCACAACTATGCTGTGCCCACTCTGTGGTAGTGTCCTCAGCCAACTGTGGAGGCTGCAGTTGTGCAGTCTGTGACCTGCAAGATTTTGCAGCCTAGATGTCTGAGGCAGTAGTCATGCCATGATAGATCTGCCAGACCGCTCCTCAGGCTGCTGGGGAAGGGCATCAGTGGGCTGGAGGAGAGTGTATGTGGACTGAGCAAAACATGAGGTTGGGGAAGGCCAGTGAGGGGGCTTCAGCAGCCACTCTGCGGGAGGATGTGTAGGGCCATCTCTGGTCACCAGGATGTTGTGTGGGGGAAAGAGAGGAGATCTCACCTTTCTGGTCAGAGGTGTGAGCATCAGCGCAGTCCTGGGCTAGTGGAGCCAGTTATCTGGTTCCTGTCCCAATTGGAACACTGCTTGCAATAATTCAAAATGGTTATACTGTTCCAGGCAAGTTGGCAATTCCCTGCTCCATATCTCCTTGTTTGGTGTTTTCATTCAGTTTTTTCTTCTAATAGGTATTTGATCTACTTCATCTTTTCCTTTGAAGTTCAGAGTTCCAGGATTGTTATCTGTATCTCTTTCACTTTGTTCTTGGGTCTTTGTTGTGGAGGGTCTGGGTAGTATATCTGCCTAGTCCACTATCTTGGATCAACTCCTTCTTTCTGTTCCTTGGTAGGAAATATTGAAAGTGAGAAAGGTAAGGGGAGAGAGAGGCCCCAGGCAGGAAGCAGCAGCTAGGCGGATGGCCGAAACAGATAGGGAGAAAGCCAGGAAGTAAACAGAATGGTTTGAAACAGCTAAGGAAGACAAACTTGTCTGTCAGTTTGTTGTACTGTGGTGGCTTGAGTGTTGCTGTGAGGCTGGAGGCAGTGCCACTGGTGTTTCAGACACCCACAGAGTTGCCCATAGTGGACAGATTTCAGTGGAGCTTCCAGACTGAGACAAACTCAGAAGAAGGAAGAGACCAGCCACTTCTCAAACAATTGGCCAGTGAAAACTTTATGAATAGCCATGAAACACTATCTGATATATTACTGGGCAACTTTAAGAATAGCCCTGAAACCTTATCTGATACAGTGCTGGAAGATGAGCCCCTCAGGACGGAAGGCCCTCAAAATACAACTGGGAAACAGCTACCTCATCAGAATAGAGACAATCTTAATGATATAGATAAAGTGGAGTTTTCAGGACCTCTATTTGCTGATGTGATACAAATCAGACCATAGAATGTATGCAGTATGAATCTAGGAAAATTGGAAGTTGTCAAAC